TTCCTGATACAAACTCCCAGGCCACAATGTTGTCCAAGCACATGGGCCAAACCATGAGCCAAAATAAGTCCTTCCCCCCTTAAGATGTTTATGTCAGGTATTTGGGCCACAACAATAAAAAGTTAGCACATAGGGTGTTTGGAAAATGCATTTAAATGAAATGCAACAGGAGTACAGAGCCCAAATGACAAAATCATGGTTTTATCCTTCACTGTAAATGGCTTAGTATGTACCGTGAAGAGATGGGTGAATTTTTACTTTGTTCTAAGAGCAGTAAACACTAAAGTGATACAGATAAGGAAATGTTAACTTTTTTTTAAATTTAGGAAGACCAATCAGTAAGATACCTGTATAGGGGAGAAAGCTATTAGAAATAGGACTGGAGTAGTGCTGTTTACTGGCTTCTTCTTTATGGCTTGCTCAACCTGTTTTCCTTATGGTACTCAGGACCACCAACCCAGGGGCCACCTACACTTATCTGGGCCCTTTCAGATTAATCATTAATCAAGAAATATGCACCACCGGCCTGCCCACAGGCCAGTCTGATGGGGGGCCTTTTCTCAATCAAGAATCTCTTTCAAAAATGACTTTAGCTTGTGTCAAATTGATATAAAATAAGCAGGCACAATGAACTCTTTGTCAATATGATACATCACTATTCAGCTAGAATCTTTCCTTTTTCATTTGTCCCCAAGATGACATGTTAATATTAATATCACAATATAAAGGATAAGTAACTTAAAAAGGTTCCACAGTCCTTAAAATTCCAAACATTTTAAAAGTTAAGTCTTTTAAAAATACTCAAAGTCCCTTTCAAAGGTCCATGTTTCACTAAAATTTCTACAGTCTGTCTAAAACTCTTAAGTCTCTTTACAAGTTCAAAGTTTCTCAATTGTGGTCTCCTGGAAAATCAAAATAAATATGTTTTTACAACAGTAGGAAGAACCAGAGTGGAGGTGTTGCAATTGAGGTTCCCTTTTCCCATACAGCTCTAGCTTATGTCAAGTTGACATTAAAACTATTCGGTGTAACAGTGAATACAAGATGAGAACCTCAAACAGTGCCTGACAGGCTTAAGGACTACCCACAGGAAGAGTGTGTTGGCTGTGTTATGTTCCTGTGATAAGACCATGAGAGTGGCGACTTAGAAGAGAAAGCACTTATCTGGGCTTCTGCTTCCAGACGGCGGAGGAGTGAAGACCTGGTGGCAGAAACAGCTGAGAGCTCACATCTCAAATCCAAGCACGAGGCAGAGAGCACACTGGCATGACCCTTTTGAAACCTCAAAGGCTGTCCCAGCAGTACAACATGCCCAACACACTTCCTAATATTTCACAAACAATTGCAACATCTGGAGAGCAAGTTTGCAAACATATGAGCTAATGGAGATCATTCTAATTCAAATCGCCATATTAAGAGAATAAGAAACTATATTGAATTTCTTTGGTGGTAAACAACAACTATTTGTTTATTTGTTTGGAACTGTAAAGTGGTTTATTAT